ATCGGTAAGTAGTGAAAATGACAAGAAAACGCATGAGCTTCCTTTTTGTATACTAATATTTTTACGATATTACATGAAGCTGCCAATTCCAAACTCGAGCTTGAGAACGGAATCGTCATTGCTGTACCCATTCCCAAGGATGAATCCGCTAATGCATCACATATTCAAAGTGCTATCGAAGCTGCACTTGCGCAAGCAAAGTAGGTGTTGTTCTGTTGCATAAATAGTTCCGTATTTCTCTGCGTCATTCATATTCTTGCTTTTTTATCCCGCCAGAACTGAAGGTATCAAAGGCAAAGACGTGACTCCATTTCTTTTAGAAAGGGTCGAGAAGATTACTACGGGCAAATCTTTAACTGCAAGTTAGTTTCATTATTGATTTTCGCGATATTTCTGCACCGTTTTATTGACTTTGTAATATCGGAATAGATGTGGCGCTCGTAAAAAACAACGCAAAAATTGGTAGTCAGATTGCTGCCTGTCTAGCAAATTTGACGCGTTCAAAACGGTTTGAAGATATGAGCAAGAATGGACATGGAGATGAAACATCGATATTCGTGAAGTCGGGCGGTGATAGCGATTCTGCAATTAAAGTTAAGGTGATGGCTCTTAGTTCTTGAGTGGTAGGCGTTTGTCACAGGGACGAGCACATTGATTTGTTGGTATATCAGTTTCGTTGATGAATAGTGTTTTAACACGTAATGATTTATAGTCCTCGAAAGCCTCTCCGCAGCCATCGGTAAAAAACCTCAGTTTTTATAGCCTATATTGCATACACTTTGGATTTCTGACCAACACAATCCGCAGGTTTTAACAGTTGGAGGGGCAGCAGTAGACATAACAGCTACCTCTTTAAACGTTACCCTTGAGACTTCCACGCCTGGAAAAATCCGAACAAGTCTTGGTGGTGTTGGCCGCAACATTGCCGAGACAGTGCATAGATTGGGAGTAAAAAGCGTCCTGATATCCACGGTCGGAGATGATTTGTTGGGGCGGTGGTTTTTGGATGAGACGCGAAAGATTGGAATGGTAAATTTTTTTTTGCGAGTGCCCGTAGATATTCGGATAAAGTTTTTTTTTACACTTTGTGTTTTTCTTTGTATTAGTGTATGGATGAACTGCAGGTTTCCAAGTCGCATCGCACGGCAGTGTATAGCGCCATTCACAAGTCAAACGGAAGTTTGTATTGCGCCATCGCTGATATGGAATATGCGATTGACGTTGAGAAGGTACGTGTTGCATATGCTATCTCTGACAGTATTACAATAGACCAATTACGAAATCTCTTGTTTTTCACTTCAGGTCAAAAAAGCAATCGACAAAAGCAAACCGAGCGTCGTTTGCATTGATGGGAACTTGGATTCAAATACTGCAAGTGCGATACTTTGTTATTGCTTTGACAAAGGTATTCCAAGTATGTATTCCAACAAGACCCCTCCATTCCCCGATATCCATTGGAAATTGGTTAATAAAAATCATGTATTCGATTAGCCTTTTTTGAGCCCACGTCGGTTTCTAAATCTCTCAGATGGTTTGCGGACCGTGATATTACAAAGACAATGAAAAATCGCCTTGGTTACATATCACCAAATATCCATGAACTCGAGGCAATGGACCTTGCCTTGACTTCAATGTCTGGACGCTGGCTTGATCAAGGTAAATCTTTGAGATATGCTCTTTTTTATTATTATGGGATTGTTGGAGATAATACTTGGATTTTTTTTCTATAGGATTAGATTTGCTTACAATCAAACAAAAGATAGCGAAGCAACACGAAATATTGATGGCTTTAAAAGATGAAAAGATTCTGTCACGTTCTGTCAGTCTATTATTGATAGCATCCACCATCATTGTAAAGTTGGGTGAACGTGGTGCATTATTGGTACAGCTAATAGACAAAGGCAAAGGTTTACAGGAACAACTCGTGTCTAGTAAATTGAATAGTGTCATAAAACTTGATGACGAAAGAACCATGCGCGTTAAATACTTTCAACCAGCTTTAGTCGAGAATTCTAGTATTATTAATGTTACGGGAGCCGGAGACAGGTATGCCATATTTTACTGTGCTCATCATCCTTCAGCCCACCCACTCAATGACTATATTCTTTACAACAGTTTCGTCGGTACCGTTCTAGCTGGTCTATCTATCTATGGTGAAAAAGAGCTTGATCGCATTATCGATGTAGCGCAGCGTGTGGCAATATTATCTCTTCAGACACATTCGTCAATCAGCGAAAAGTTGAACGCTAGTTTTCTGAAACTTGACTAGCAACACGAGTTGATAAAAAGGAACGCATTGCATTGAATGAAATTCTCAGTTTTTGATACCATCGTAAAGTTCATTTTCCAAGGATGCGATCGTACATGACGAGAATCATATTTCTCGTTTTTCTCCAGATAAGATGTAATCACAAATATTGAGTTACTAAATTATAAATAATGGGTGACGTTAATATTGCAAACAGTAACTTCATCTCAAACCAACATACAATTTTATCATACCTTCAACTGATTTAAAGTTTCCAGTACTTATACGCTTACTTGAATATTTACTTTCCTTCTCAAGAGGTGATAAGGGTTTTACTTCATTACGGTAAATGGTATTCCACACATTCGAATTATTCTTTAGCGCATTGTTAATAAGTTCGTGAATATCCCATGCATTCGGACGCTTTTCAGGGTCCGCATCACAACACAATTTGGCAAGTTGTCTATACTCTTCTGGTGCTGAATCAGGCATCGGTGGTCGACTTCCACCCATAATCTCGCATATCAACACCTCATCGGATTCTCTGTCTGCAAAGGGCTGTTCACCAGTGGCCATCAGATGCGTAATAATGCCAAAAGAATAGACATCTGATTTCTTTGTAAATTTGTGAGTGTGAAAGACTTCCGGTGCGATAAAGGGCTTAACGCCCATAATTGATGATGAGTCGCGTGAATTCACCGATCGAGAGATACCGAGATCGCATATGAACGGATAGCTCGTATTACGAACATGTTTTCCAGCATCAGACTCGTTTTTATGCAAAAGTATATTTCCGCCATGAAGATCACAATGCACTATTCCCGCGTCATGGATGACAGCCAGACTACGCGCAATATCCGCCAACCAGCAGAATTTCTTCCTCCACGTCAATTGGTTAATATTATCTTCCAAATAAGACGAAAGAGCACCAATATTCGCATATTGCATAACTATCATGTATTCTCTCTTTTCTGGCTTTTGATTTTGTGTGTCCTTTGTTAAGCACGGCTTCGTTTCTGGCTTTTGAATGAATGTGAATCCGTAAATTTTAAGGAAACGATAATCACGCGAACACTTAGCATGATTTCTGATCTGTCGAATCGAAAACAAGTAATCAGATTTAGATTAATATTATTTTAAAGTCTAATTAAATAATATATCAAAGGGTTGTTTACCTCGGGAATAAATGATTCCGTCGCCTCGTCATTTTTATATCGTTTCAATACAACAGTTTGTGTCGAACTGTTTTTATGTTTGGCAGTATAGACTGTTCCATAACCTCCGGATCCAATCTTTGTAATTTGATCAAAGTCGGCATATTGCATATATTTTATACGCCCATTAGTTTGTACGAATCTATCTAATAGTGCATGTATATCATGGTAGAACACGAAATAATAGTCTTCCGTAGATGGCTCTTGAACTACACCAACGATCCAACTATTCTCTGGTGTTAATACGCCGGGTAATCCGTAGTTAACTGTTTTGGGATGCACAGCGCCAAACAACAATTAAAATCACGTAAAGAATTATAATACCCGTTACACACGGATAATTTACCTGATAAAAATTAAACGACAGTGCTTTCTGCTTGTCAACTATTTTTTTGAGAGTCACTTTTATCCCTCGCTCTAACCAATGTGCTATATGTGTGCACTCATGACGTAATGATGTCATTTCTTGCACATTTGCTAATTGGGAATATTCAATCCATTGGATATAGGCGTCAGATGTAACCGTCATGTTCTTCCATGACTTTATAATAAACGAGTCCAAAGACTTGTTGCCAGTTGTCCAATCAATGGGCCTTGGTGCTTTACAATGATAACAGAATGCATTTATTCTGGGTTCTAATCGACGTGTACATGCCAGACATAATCCAGTTCTTTTATTAGATAATATTTTCGTGCACGTGCTTCGTATGTAAACCCGATCGTCACCCAATCATCTTTGGAAAGGACATCTGGATGCTTAATAGTAACTTATTGAACTATTATTATATGTATATTAATATCAGTTACAGTGTGTATGTGTTCCACATGGAATTGTTAAGTCAAGAGCGTATGACTATCAATTCGGTTAATGCACTTTCGAAAGTGTGTGGCTCACCTCAGCAATAGCTAAACACAACAGTTAGTGACTTGTCAAATAGGTTTTTTATTTTATTGTACTGACGAGTCTAACTCGGATCGTACACACCATAGTTTCTAAATAATTAACTATCTCGAGGTCAAGTACGATTCTCTAGTTGGATTACTATTACGTCAGTAGTCTATCGTTGGGGCCTTGCAATGATCATATAGTTACGGTTATTATTTATTGTTTTAGACTGAGAAGAAAATAATACGATTCGATACATTATGATTAATTATTAATTATTATTTAATCAAAGCAAGCCTATACGCTAAACTGACTGACAGCGTTTGAATGAAACAGGATACTCAAACAACTATTCAAGACCTTCGAGCCGAATTTAGTTGAATTGTGCAAATCGGCAGGGATTGATGAGTTCCAGAGGAACTTGATTTCAGGCTATGAACGTATTCAAAACAAATTGCATCAGCTATAAACAGCCCGAATTATCAACATCATTTCATTTTTATTATTGATCACCTCTTCTAACTCCTTTCCCACTTTTCCCCTCCCTTCCTCCTCCCCTTTATCGTCCAGGGTTTAACTTTTACTTTCACTCATCATCTGCTAATGTTGGACCAAAAAAACTAGAGGCTTTTTTTTTATCTTTTAATTTCACTTACTTTATTTTCATCTTGTTAATTCTGACTCTGAACCCAACTCCGATGGCCACTAACGAAATTGCGAGTAGCCATACCCACACATGATCAAATTGCGAGAGTGTCCAATTGGCCTGCGTACCTCCGAGCGCTGTGAGCCAGATCAAGAATAGCCCCAAATATCCAGACAAGCGATGGTATTTGTACATTGCCTTTGCTTGACGGACACCACCGAGGGCGGATGGAAATACGAGCATGACGAGACCAAAGGAAGCTTGTATGCTGAGGAGGATGATGGTTGTCAAGCCAGCTTTTCCGTGAGCGGAATAAACTAGGTTGAAAATGGAAAAAGCGTTAAACGATGAATAATCAGAATATTATCAAACTGTAGTAATAATAATATCGTTTTTCTGTAATTTGAATATTAATTAAATGACTGATTTCACTTACAATGCTCTTTGGCGTGAATAGCCTTGTTAGAGACTATTACGGCGAAACCACAAATTGCAGATATGAGACCAATAATCTGGAACCATTTATGTGTATGAGCCCCTTCTTCCTTCTGCTCTACTGTTTCTGTTCTTTGGAGTAGAAGTACACCTGTTGAACAAGACAAGGCAAAGGTAAGTTGAGAAGCGGAAACATTGAGATGTGATGGAATATTACCATAAGCTTAAAATCTATATATTAATTTTCGTAAAATTTTTTTACTACTACATGCCAATTTTGTGCACGCTCTCGCCTACAGCATGATTATCCTAGCATGTTCTTGCATGTTGTACGCACCTTCGGTTACAAAAACGAGAGCAAAGCTCATGCATGTTGGATGTAGTAAAAACAATGACGAGTTTGCCTGGAAAAGAATCCACCACAGCGTCCCTGTAAACAGTATGACACCCGACGTTGCTACTGTGAACCACATGAAGCCTAAATCAAAATATGTTGGTCCTACGGGAGTTGGTAGAGTAAACTTGTCTTCTCGGATATCAGACCTAGATGTCGGAAGATAAGAAGAATCGGAAGGGAGCGGACTAGAAAGCAGCGGTTGGTTTTCCTCAGACGACATTCTGTATTTGGAAATACTCCGGATGACAGGATCTGTTTAGAGTAATGATACCCGCGATAAGAGGATTGGGGGGATTTTATTATTATTATTACTATCTATCGTCGTGCGGATATTGATTTTTGGATTTGAAGATTGTTCGTTTTGTAAGCGTGGTTATCAATGCGTTGTAATGATAGGGTAGTCGTTTGGTGTTTGTTAGTGTAATAATAGTGTTTGTTTGGCGTTTTGATGTTTGGTTTGTGGTTAAAAGGTGGCAGGGGGGAGATTGATGGCAAGATGGGGATGGCGTGCTGGATGTATATATATATACGCATACACTCTATGTGAGATCATTCGTTATTTATACTAAACGTAAATAGTTCATTGAATAAACCATTAAAATATATCAATATATCTGATCGAATATGACATCAATATAAAAATTAAAGTAACAACTATTTATCAGATTATCTGATAGTTATTTCTGTGTCAGCAGTGTAACAGAACGCAAGCGTTATCAGATTTTATCGAGTATGTCATTTGACAACGAAAGACGCCACGCGAAGATAAGAACCAATGAATTGATATCAGCGGAGAATTATCAATAAATGATGCAATACATTGTGAACCATAGCAAGTAAAACACCATATTCGATGACCGTAGGAAAAATACGGCTGCTCTAATTGAAAATGGTTCGCGTATTCAATATGATAATTGCCCATGTCGTAGCTGACAGATTAGGGTTCTTTTTGCTCGAAGACTAAAAGACGGTCTATCTACGAAAACTCAATCAGTCATAGCATTGTATTTGGTTAGTTTTCTTAATATGCAATACGTCATATGAATACCATATACGTTTAGCGTGCCATCACATGCGTGCTAAATAGAAGAGTTATCAGATTGAATCATCTGAAATATTCAAAACGTGTAACAATAAACTCTATCAGAAAAAGGTAATAGATAGGAAAACTTCCTCCATAATTGTTAAGGATTTTCTGAAAGAATGCGAATCGCACAGCCCCGATCGTTACATACGCACAACACACCGATCAACAACTCACATTACGTGTGATACATGTCGACATTTTCGCAAAGATCCCCAAACCACAAAGAAACTGATGAATCGTACGCTGATGATGTCACAATGAGTGCTTATCGATCAAGAACTTGGGAATCAGTCCATTATTTTGGATGCACAGAACAACACGTTACCCGACACTAAAGAATAATGATTCAAATAATACTACATCTTATGAGTTTTGGTAAGCGTAAAAAATTTTGCATTCCCATGATTATGAGATGAAATAATGGACAATGATTTAATCACATGCATTACATTCTTAACTAATACTTTGCTGAATAACAATGGCAATGTCAATGGCCAAATTTGATGGATTATGACCCCCCCTGCAAAGATTCTCGATGGCTAAGAATTAATGATGGCATAGTCTCGGTTATAAAACTTGTCAGTTCCTCGCGATAGTTATATGACTTGTCAAATAAGCATGCGAAAACCAACTCTGGTTGTTCGGCGTAGAAGAACAACAACGCAATGAGGCAGTATTCCCTTATCGCCGACAATGTTTTGTAAACCAATTTTTTTCCCTAGTTGAGAAACTTTCCCACCTGTGTGGCGTGTTAAATTCGAACCCCCCCTGAAATTGGTTTCTCATATCACCATACATTCTCTATAACCTTTAACTACGTTGCTCTCGTAAAACCCACGTATCCAACCCGTAACCTACACGTAACCCACATTCACTGTACGTACGTGCTCCCTGAACTTGCTGGAAATGTTCACACCGCCTTCACCATTGCAACTATCACACGCTTTCACCACGCCACCATTACAATGCCAATCCCCTCATACACCACCCACAATATCTCCTTCATTACAGCCGATATACACAACGACCACACCTACAACGCCACCTCCACTCCCGATTTCAATGTCGGGAGATACACTAACTCCCACAAGCGAAAATTTATTCGATAATGAGAGAAGTTCTTACTTTTCCGACGATTCGACTGATGAAGAAGAGAGTGACGACGAAGAGAGCAGAGAGAAGGTGACGTGGTATAAAAGTGAGTTCGATCTGTTGATACATGTGAGTTATGATGTTTGTTATTATGTTCTAAGTGTGTGAGTTATGAATGTAAAGAGTTTATTTGTCGCATCGTGATATTACTTGTAGATCCACTCTGATCTTTGTGCCTTTACCTTTCTTTATACTAGGAATTTGACACTTTTGTCCAAACTGCTCGGCCCCCTCTTGCACCCTTTTCGCATTTTCGTCCCCCATCAAATCTCCTACATCGCGTAGCCAAGAAAGTCATTCGAAAATATCCTGACTGGAGACATTCGACTACAGACACAATGAGAGGTCTAAGAGATTATCTGAGAAGTTTAAGTTGGAGGAGAGAAGAAGACGAATGGGAGAATGTGTAAATAAATGGGATTGAAAAACTTGGGTAGGGGAGAGATATATACCGGAAAAAATTGCTCAGGAAAGAGCGAGAGAGAAGACATATACATATACATATATATATGCTTGGATGGAGAGAATGAATCGTTTTTGAGTGTTGTGGGATTTGGGAGGGATTTACTCAAACCATCTTGCGATAAATGCGAGAGAGACGTACGCTCGAGAAGTGTACGCTCGAGAATACGAGTTGATTATCAACTCATTAAAGTAATTCTCCTGTAAATATTTTTAATTAATAGGATGGATTTCTTGTAGATTTGTTGTATATACAATAATATTAATGACATATTTGAGATAAATAAAATACAGCTAATGGGAGGATCATTTTCGAAAGCGTTGTGTATTTAAGACTGATTGCTAATAGGAACATATCAATCAAAACGTAAAGTCTTTTGCGCTTGGTTAAAATGGTTGCCTATCACAATTGGAGTATAATAATAACTTTATAACTATCCGCGGTAAAATTTTGAACTTTTGTCAGTCAATACGCATTACTTATTCGAAATTATATAGCGATTTCAAAAATTCATTTCTTCTCACCTTCACAATGAGAGCAGTTTGATCAAAATTATACAGATTCGGGCCTACGTAAAACGCGTCATTGAGCTTCACGGTTACTAGTTGTGTATTTATCCACGTTACCAATGAGAAAAAGGTTCACACGATGTCCGTGGCAGCAGACATTTAGTTATCATGAGATATAATATAGATTACAATATAGTGATGACAGAAACTTAGATACTAATCGCTGATGTAGGATAAAGCTGAAATAATAAACAATGAGACTAAATACATCTTTATGATTCTATATATGCGTTAACTTACAGATGAATTTTCGAATCCCTTAATATTAACGGATTTAATCAAATTCTCAGCATTGCCCACCAACTTGTTGAATAAGCTTTGCGGCGGAGGGCCAATGCGTATTATCCCTTCTTCCTGTTCATCCGAAGCAGATTGACAGGGATGTAACTCGACCTTGATATTGGCTAAAGTACTAAGAATTTTAAGCAGTGAGATAAAGCGTAGGAATAAAGGGTCGTTAGTATTATGCGAATCATTGGATAAATGTTCTATAAATCGTATCACGCAATCCCCTCCCCCTTGCACCTCCTTTGCAACAAGATACTTACGCTGTAGCCATAGATGCAGAAACCGACAGCCAACTTTTAGACTTGGTCTCCTCTTTGTCATCCTCATTCGCTATTTTATCGGTATCAACTTCCGGATATGCATCCCAAGATATAGTATTCCCGGCTTTAATCTTATTCTTAAACAAGAGCTCCATCACTCTTTGTCTCTCTGGCTCTTTCTTTGGAAAATCTGCCGAGTCTACATACGCCACACGAAGGAAGAAATGATTGTCACTGACGAGGGGAACGTCCCAACCGACTATGAGAAATAGACGTTCGGCGAGATTAAAGGCATTATTAACGCTCTTGAGCTCATATATAAGAAGACCTCGGGGGCCTTTGGTAATGGAAGACTTGAATGCTCTATTTTTGGGGATGAGCAAATGAATGGTAGAGAATATTAGATTTATCAAAAAGATGATTTGATTTCTCACGTAATGCGTTGGTCACATTTTGTGAACAAGGTCTTAGCCGAGGTTAGTCAATCACCATTCAATTTTAGCCTACGAAAAAAAAAAGTTTCCGCTACTCGCTATACTTGTTACTCACGTTACTCCACCCTTTGCAGGAGGAATCGAGATGGTCGGAGCTTCTAAACAATCAGTTTCGCAATAGTATTCCATGTTCTTTAATATATAATGCTCATGATAATTCTCAATCGAGATAGTTACGCCTCTTTTGAGCTGCTTGTTGATCGTGCCCAGTGTTGCTGAAACCACTGCAAAATCCATCGAAAGCTTTGAAACTTTTTGTCGATTTGTCCTTTGGGTATTTTTTTATATGACCCGTTGATCAATCGCCTTATTTGGACGTATATTAACGGGATAACGATAATGCTTTTTGACAATTGTTCTCCTTATCGTCTTGTTTGTTGGATTTGGGCAAAAAAAGGACTTGATGCTTCCGATAGTTTTAGTTCGTATAAATGCTGGTTTATGGTCATAGTTAGTTTGACGCACAAACACTAACGTAACACTGTGATACTACGAGTCCGCATCCTGAACTTTTGTTCCACAGTTGGCCATTACTCTGAGAGAGCGAATTTAAACTTTGCGAGTACAACGCATACTTGTATTGTAGATCTGCGTGATCAAGATACTAAATATCACGTGATATGTGATTTTACATTCTCCGACTGAATGATCACTTGCGTTGAAATAAGCAGTACATTCCCAAGTGCCTACACTATCTGTGGCATTAGAACGGAATAACAGCAAGCTATGCGTAGCTGAGGGATTACCAATTATTTCAAGACGCGTGATATACTAAATAATAAGCTTGAATGAAGCGCGAGCAATTATTCCTTAATTATGAAAAATTGCACGTGCCCACCAAATACTCACGCAACGAAATAAGGCTACGTATAGTCGCACGAACCAAGCATCTACATAAGGGGGATGTGATAAGAATATTCCTCTGCAGCATAAAAAAAATTCTCATTGCAAAAATTCGTTTCAACAAATCATTTCGAACTAACCATAACAAGATCGACGATCACTACTTCAGAATATCAATACCCAAGACACTATTAAAATCCCCGGCTTAAGGATGAGTATGATCCGTATAGGCGGATATGTGCAATGAAAACTTGTTTGACAGCAGTTGACACGAAAAGACTTGAGGAAAAATATATTGTACACACTAAAAAAAATCAGTTACAAACTGATACAATTAGCTAACTTAAATTGAACGTTCGATTAGGTTGATTAGATATAAAACAAAACTCGAACCGAGCAATTAAAAAAAAACTATTAAGAAATAAGTTAACTTGTGTTTTCTATCAATTATTTCATTAGAGCCTCAACTCCTAACTACAAAATTATATATACTTTTCAGCATATAAACGACGAGGTCGTCATAAATTACGTATTTGCTGTCTCTTATCTTTCTTCACCACCCGTTAGTGGGTGCTTTCAAACTATATAAATCAACGCCTTTTATTCCCTTTTCGAATCGACAAGCCAAAATAACCTCATTTTCTTCACTTCTTCCTGTTCCCAAAAAGGTCACCTCGACGCCTTTGACAACGTTCTCAACTACCAATCCCGTACGAAAACTTCTAATCTCTATTACGTCCCTTCCAAAACCCACAACATAGGCGTCATTGGTTCCGATACCTCCTCGGAAGAAACAGACAGACTGAGGCGAAAACGACCATTCGAATATGATAGTGGAGAACGGACGACCTTTGGCGTCGACGACCATCGACCTGGATCCGAACGTGGCGAAAAACAACAACGGTCCAGAACAGAATAGATCAATGGCCTCGGTTGCGTCAAAAACGGTGGTTGGATGTAGAAAAGACGATGGTGGTGATGTGGACGCGAGGGCATAAGAAGGTGGGATAGTAAAAGGATCGGAAACATTTTCGGGATTCACGGACGGGAGGAAAGGTAATTGGGTGAACGTGCGCCATATCGTTGTCGATTCGTCTGCATCATCCAACTCGTCATATTCATCGTCATAGTTTGGCCTAAGCTCATCGGCGATACTGACTTCTCTGATCCTCGAGTCTTCGACTCCAATCAGAATAATCTCGTTTCCAAATGCCGCGATGATATCCACCAGCTGTTCTCCATGCACGGCCAGCTCTAAATAATCTGGCGTGCTGGGCAGCCAGTAGGTCCTCGTGTGTACCCACTGCTGTTTATTTGTGTTGTTTTCATCGTGGGTCATTTCAAACAAGTAAATATTCTGTTTTGCTAATGCCGCCACGTACGATCGTGCCACACCCACGCTGACGACGAACGATATGGTTAATTTCGTGTGCGGCAATTTCACAAAATCGCCCGTTGACTTTTTCGAGTGTTGCGAAGATGAAAAGGATGGACTTGGGCGTGGAGCGAACGGGAATGCCGACATGCTGACTCGGTTTCTCGAATGAGAGTTTGACGGCATGCTAGGTTGGTACGACGACGTGACTGTCGCCATCATGGATGTCTTTACACCGACTGATACGGACATCTTTCCTGCGTTTCCGACATTGATTATCTCCTCGACGATTTCCACGCCTTTTCTTACCCTTATCCCTTCGCAGTCCTCTTCTCCCATCAATGCATCCATGTACTCTTCATCTTGTGAGTCCTCCTCGTATGCAATACTCATCTCCTCCGATGACCCAATAATTTGTTGTTCGCGGAAAAAGTGTCTGTCATGGAATTCACTGTGATGCAAGTCGTAGGTATTAACGTCGTTGTGAGGAAGGTTGCGGCGCGGCGTTTGCTGGAGAGAAGCGCGTTTTGAATGACTGGGTCGCGAATTGAAGAAGGGATTGGAAAACCGTTTTGAATGTTTGGGTGTAGGAGTGGGTGGTGGAGTGGCGGAGGCTTTGGCGAGCTGTGCAAAGATTAGGATCTTTAACGAATATAGGGTATAGCTTCTCAAATGCGAGTTTCGACCGCTTATGGCTAGTAAAAACCCATCTGGTTTGTTTTTTTTTTTTTTTGTTTTTTGTTTGGTGAATAAAATTAATTATAAAGGAAAAAAGAACAGTCATACCGAGTACCCAAGTCACAATTAAAATACTTAAACCCCATAACTAACCATTCTTGCGAGTTTTAACAATCTTGATCTGCTTAAACCTTGGACCTTCGATAATCCTTTTTGCAGTCTGCTTTTCTGTTGGTAATGACAGATCAATAAAGTCCAATCCCGATGACGTTCCGATTAAGAAGAATCTATTATCAAGTATGTCACCACACAGGTACTTGTCCTTCGTGCGGAAAACATTCCCAATCGCTTTCAGTTCGAAACCTGAAGTTAGCTCAGATGGAGAAGGCGAATATTCTGGGACTTGAGCATGTTTGGCGAAACGAAAGATCTGTGGGATTGACGCTTTTCTGCGCTGTTAAGATGAGATGATTGGTTGGAAATAGAAAGAACGAAAGAAAGAAGGGGGGGGGGGGGGTTTGAAGAGCAAGATGAAATTTTTAAGGGGATGTTTCTCTCTCTCAATTTTTCATGATCCATACAAAGATTGTAAACGGGACATTTGATTCAATGTCGAGTCGTAGCCGTACCTGACTAAGTGAATTCATGTATAAAAATTTTGGCGAAAACTTTCCAGCGTTTTCTGTTTCCTCAGTGTTCGTTATATCTGTTCGACAGATGCAGCACAAAAAAGGTTGCTTTTAAAAAAACTGTTTACGGATGAGAGTTTAAATATGTTAATATTGAATGGATACAAATAAGTTTACACACGTCGGTGTTGCCATATCCGGTTAATGTCATTACTTATCAACAAGGACTAATTACTTTAAATATCAACCTTAAAAATTGGTGGTTCATAATAACGTTAAATATATCATGGAAGTGGGGGCAAGGTACAAATTAAAGTGGTGTTTTGTTGTTTCTACAAATCTATCGCTCATGTCTTTTATAAAGATAACGGTTTGCCTGAAAATAAACTGATAGTATTGTATTTGTATGTCATGTCGAGGAGGACATATGTCAAAGAAAGATACACATGATATTTCACAAAAGAGGGGTTAAACTTACATTCTATGTCATGCGCTAACCAATTATATAGCAATCAGTCGCACAGTGCATGCTTGCTCACATTAAAGAACTAAAGAACATGTGTGTCACGAGTTTTAGAATTCCTTGATTTTTTTTTTTGTTTCTAATCAGAATTGTTCAGACAAGATTAGTTTACGCATCAAACCGACTCTTAAAGCTAAGCAACTTTTTTAGTCAGAGTTGTAAATTAATTATGATTAATGTAAAGAACAATAGCTAATATAATGTATATGACATACAACAATTGCACTTACCGGACGAACTGTTTCAAAAATATAATATAAATTTGGCAATGTAAATGACAAAGTCATCAAAACGGATGCATAGAATATAAACATTACGTAGCAAAATTGGTGAACCATCCACTATGAGTTTTACACTTGTAGAAACGAAAAATGCATTATTGTAATAATTGGTATTACTTATTGGCCTCCGTGTTGAATGGTCAGCTAATTACGATTAGTCATTTCCCGTTTAGTTAGACCATTACCCACAATTCATGTACTCCACATATGCAGATCAGCGTTAATTGGCTACATGTATCTCATAATATAGCCTTTACTTGATATAACACATTGCAATCAAAAATCGGTTATTCGCTACGAGTGCCGTTTCCAAAGTACCAAAATTATTACGCTACAGTAAGATTTATTTTTTCAATCAAGGTAAAAGTTTGCGCATACGATAAATGATGTAGGATAAAAAAAAAGATTATAAACCTAACACAAAAAAACCTCTACCAAATGTTTATAGCAAAGTTATGATGCTTAATTATAATTATAATTAAAGAGAGTCTGCTGACTTGGCTGCATATAAAATCTGAAATTTGTCTCTCCACAACGATAATGGCGGCGAACGTTTCATTTAAAGTTTTTATGATCGATCCGATTTCAAAATCCGGGTCAACCATTTCTGGATATCGTTAAACACACTTATTTAAAAGTGATGAGCATAAATTTATTGATAAGCCGAGTGCCCGCCGAGATCAACAAAATCTCCAATTCTAATGACGTATTTAATTATAAATCATGCTTACTATAAAGAGATTAACACATGATACATTATGTGCTTACGTGACGCACACGAAGAATCAACATATTTCGAATAAGTGCCAAATTAAAGAATTAGATCTCTAAAACAAACGAAACATAATTTAAGCTAGTATATTAATATAAGTTAGCTTCTGTGTCTATCATCTCTTTCATACCTTCTATCCTTAAATGTCGTTTGATACGGTGTATATAACAATTTTTTTTCGGCAAAATAGCAATAAGTATGCAAGCTCGAAGAGGTAATCAGTTTTTAAACAACAAAAAAAACATGGGTAATGGTATCGCTATCTGAACGGCTCTGACTTAAATATTCTAACAAACCATAAAATATGTGAAATAAAAGTTCACATATGCTGACAGTCATTTCGAAACAATCATTATGTTTAAAATGTAATTTACTCATGCAAAATACGATTCGTATCTTAAATTTTGTACTCGAGCAGTGCAAGACGAATAATATTAGAATTCGAACATAGTCTTCATGTTACTAAAGTATTGGTTTGACATGATATTACGAGAGCAGACGTCGAATCAGCGATGATAGTATACTTAGGATAATGCATCCAATAATTTTTGCTTAAACTGGTCGTGTGATTGACTTATTGGGCACATGGGCATGATGCTAACCAAATTTATATCATATCATGATAAGAGTTAACGCAATTGGACATTGTTGCTGTTAACTTTTACTGGTAATGCAATGGTCTAGTATATTTGTCGACAAATTACACCCCTGTAAGTCCCATGCAATTAATCTGCGCGTGAACACGTTAAACGGTACATTTTATATCAATATTATAATATTAATTTTAATTCGACTCGTATCAAGACATACTAGCCCAGGACGTGCTAACCGCGCGTACCAGTAATAATTTATTGAACGCTTTGAGTCACTAAATTAATGTGATAAAAATACATTAAATTCCAAATCGATTCAATTTATCAAAGTGTGACGAATCGTTGCCTTCATACCTGCAGCTGAATCCAAATCATACCTATTTCTCGGTTTAGGCAGGCCTCCAGTAGGTAAAAGCATACTAGAATATTTACTCTTCTTCTCGAGACATGACAATGGCTTTACATCATTATGGTAGACGGCATTCCACGCGCTGTCATCATAGCCAACGTCTGTAGTAAGCTTCCAAAGCGTATATGCATCAGGACGCTTATCAGGATCGGCATCACAACACCGCTCAGCAAGTTTCTTGTATTCTTCTGGTGCGGAGTCAGGCATAAATGGTCGTAGTCCACCCATAATATCACATACCAAATCTCTATCAAACTGTCTATCTCGAAAAGGTGGTTCACCAGTAGCCATCAAATACATAATGATACCAAAAGAATACACGTCTGATTTCTGAGTAAACTTGCGAGTATGGAAGACTTCCGGTGCAATAAAAGGTAAAACACCTTGAATGGTTGAACTTGACTCGTGTGAATTTACCGATCGTGAGAGACCAAGATCGCATATTAATGGAGTACTGGAATTCAAAACAATGTTTCCGCCATGAATATCGCAATGCACTAATCCCACATCATGAATATTGTGCAGATGACGTGCAATACTCTTCAAATACTCCAATTTCATTCTCCACGTCAATGTGTTAATATTTTGATCCAAATAAGACAAAAGACTACCATTGTTAGCATACTGCATAACAATCATGTATTCTTTTGTTTCAGGGTCTTGAGTGACACCATAAATTTGAAGAAAAATAGCATACGAACACTTGGCGTGATTTCTGAACTATAAAATAGATAGTGATCAGATTAAAATACCCACGTTAATTAATAATAACAAACATCGCTTACTTCAGAAATAAATAGTTCCGGTGTTTTATCAAAATTCTTAAACCGTTTGAGTACAATAGTTTCTGGCATATGTATATACTTTACTTCTGAATATTTGTTATATTTGGCAGTATAAACTGTTCCATAACCACCAAATCCGATTTCTTTAATTTCATCAAAGTCAACATACTGCATGTACTTTACTTCTTTGTTACGTTGTATAAATATATCCAATATTTCATGTATGTCATAGTAGAAAACTAAATAATATTCCCGAGTCGATGGTTCCCGGGTGATCCCAACGATCCAAATATTTTCGGGTGTTAATATCTCTGGATATTCTTCAGTAAGCTATTTTGAGTGAACAGATAAAGTTGTTACAACAACAACAACAACAACAACAACAACAACAACAACAACAACAACAACAACAACAACAACAACAACAACAACAACAGCAACAGAAACAATAATAGTCAGTATGCCCGTTAATAATACTATTTGCATTTTACACGACGTGAAGAATTTACCTGATGAAAATCAAATAATTGATCATTCTGTTCAATGACTATTTTTTTGAGTATCACTCTTGTCCATTCATTTGTCGTCGGTTCTAACCATTCTGCCATATGTGTGCATCCATGGCGTAATAATGTCGCCTGTTGCACGTTTGTCAATAGGGAATATTCAATCCACTGTATATACGCATCATATTCATTCATTGTATTACTCCATGATTTCATAATAAATGAATCCAATGACTTGTTGCCAGTCGTCCAATCAGCAGATCGTAGTGTTTTACACCAATAACAAAATAGATTTATCCTAGGTTCTATATCTAATCGTTCCATACACGCCAGACACAATTCATTGCTAACTTTTATTAGACAATATTCTTGTTTACTCGCACCGTATGTGAATCCGATAGTGACCCAAACATCCGTGGTAAGAATGTCTGGATGCTCATCACATAACTAGTGAAAATTATAAACGTCAATATATATCTAAACAATTGATAAACATGTCATATTCGCACTTGATAGTCACCTTGTCGTAATATGAATTATCCGCTTCATCTGTTATTTCGAACGAAATCAATTTAACGTCAGCACGAGTAGGTAGACCGTATAAGCGTGCGTAATATCCCCTATCATCAATACAATCGAATGGAATCCATTCCAAATAGGCATGATTTGGTGAGTCTGTTTGTAATTGAGACTTTTTAATAAACTCATCGAGTTGCTTATTGTTGCTAGTCCATCCATCGCATAACTCTTTATGTCCACATATGCACCACACAGGACTGCATCGGAGCATACCACATTTAGAACAGAATCCGTATCGAGAATAACAATGGTAAAAGCGTCTGCGTGCAACCATGTAATAGTTATTATCATTCTCGGTAAATCCAATTATGCGCTCATTGCGCTTCTTAAGCCATGTGGAATATCGTCGATATTGACTGACATCATTATTGTACTTGTGCGTCGGAATTGAGTATATCCTAGCAAACTCACTCACAAGTGTTTGTGTACATTCTTCACTACCTCCAAGTGATAGCAGATAGCGTAATAGACGCTGTCAATCTGAGTTGGCTTTATATCGGTGATTTGCGAGTAAGGAATCCATTTCATATTAAGTTTATTGTATTCATTTACGTAGGAAGTTTGAATCAA